TGAAACTGATTCAAATTTAAAAGAATAAGAGCCATTCCCCAATCTATTCTCTGACTATTCCCAATGATCAGAGGGTACGAACAACTAGTCTTCAGAGGAGGAAATCAAAGCTATTACCAGCTATATGAAAAAATGCTCCAAATCACTAATAATTAGGGAAATGAAAATTAAATAAACCTAAAGTTCTACCTCATACCCATTATATTGGAAAAATTAACCAAAAAGAGAAAATTACAAATGCTGCAGAGACTGTTGGGAAATAAGTATATTAATTGACTATTGTGGAGCTGTGAACTTATCTAGACAATTTGGGAAGCAATGTGGAACTATACTCCAAAAGTTACTATACTGTAAAAACTCTTTGACCTTGAGATACCACTACTAGGTCTATACTACAAAGAAATAAAAGAAAATGAAAAGGACCCATATGTACACAAATATGTGTAGCAGCTCTTTTTGTGTTGGCAAAGAAATGAAAACTAAGGGAATGCTGATTATTTGGGGAATGTCTGAACAAATTATGATATTATGATATATGTGATGGAATACTATTGTGCTATAAAAAAATATAAAAGGGACAATTTTAGAAAAACCTGGGAAAATATGTATCAACAGAGTGAAGTGAACTAGAACAATAACAAAAGTATTATAAAGGCAACCAACTTTGAAAACTTAAGAACTCTGATCAAGGTAATGTCAATCATGCTACTCGCCCCTGCCAGGGAGGTGATGGATTCAGAAAGTGTACATTGAGATGAATATTTGTTGGACATGGCCAATGTAATAATTTTGTTTTGTTTGACTATTTGTTAAAAGGGTTTTGTTCTCCTTTCTTTTTCAGTGAGGAAGGGGAGGTGATAGGAAGAGAAAGTGGATTTTCAATAACTTTTTAAAAATTAAATTAAAAAAAAGAAATCCTCCTCTTCCTTACAGGTCTAGTCCAGTGTTGCTTCTTCCATGAAGACCTCCCTATCTCTACACCTGGGAGTGATCCATCCTTTTTCACATCTCTTGTGCAATTTGGATTAAAGTTGTATATATCTTACTCCCTGTATTAGATCATGAGAGGGGATCTTATTATCCTCAGTTCCTAGGGCATAGTAGGTGCCTGGCAAATGCTTATGGAACTGAATTATTCAAATTTAATGTGCTAAGACATTAATTCAAGTAGAAGAATAGACTCAAATCCTTAATGTCTTATTTGGTAATGATCTGAGAATTTTACCTGTAAGAATAAATATCCATTTAGAAGGAAACTTTCCTCTACCAATTCAGGTAGGTACTCTCTCTGTAACTTCTAGTCTTTGAGAATTGTCTAGATTACTGAGAAGTTGCCCAGTGGTGCATAGTAAGTATGAATCAGAAATGAGGCTTAAACCCAGATGTTTGGGACCAAGCCTGATTCAAGCCACTGTGATGCTTCATATTCAGAATACAAATGAAATAAGGTGCTCATAGACTAGCCAAAAGGTAAGAAAAGGAGGCATGTCTCCCTGGCTTATCTCCATACAGAAACATATACAGTCAGCAGGTTATGGTGTGGTGATTTGTGAAGCAACAGTATATTCACCAAGTCTGAAGGGCCCTGACTCCACAAGGATGGACCTGTTTTATACCCTTATATGACCAGTAAGGCATGCCAAGGTCTAAACTTTAATCTTCTAAAACCATCAAGTCTTATAAATAGTTTCAATAATTTTTAAAGACAACAACTAGCCCAGGCCAATCGCTGGAGGGCCTGGTAAATATTTCTCATACTGTACCAAATTCCTTTGTAGCAAGAAAAGATCTTCTAAATTTTCTAAATCTTTTCAATGGCTTTGGGTCTATTACTGGATAACCCTAATCTTAGAGAAAGAAAAACTAAATAAAAAAGATAGAGCAAAATAAACAAGCAAAATAGTGGCCCCATAAAGGAGTAACCAAATATGGAGTGGAGGGAGAAACTAATTATCTCATGTGGCAAGAGTATTTCTCCTAGCACACTAGATCTCTTCCTGGCTTCAAAACCAGCTATCTTGCCTGACTCAGCCCTATCACCATGAAGCTGATGGACATCATGCTATGGAGCTTCCACATGGTCAAGGTGTTCCAGGAGAACTCTGACAACATCAACTGCTTCGATTTCAGCCCCAATGGTGAGACCATCATCTTGAGCAGCAAGGACAATTCTATTGCCCTGTACGACTGTCATGAGGGCAGACCAAAGAGAACACTGTACAATAAGAAGCATGGAGTGGACCTAATCAGATATACACCTGCAGCAAACACTGTAGTGTACAGTTCTAACAAAAGATGATACAATCTGCTACCTGTCTTTGCATGATAACAAATACATCTGGTACTTCCCCAGACACAACAAGAGAGTGGTAGCCTTGTCTATGTCATCAATAAATGACACTTTTATCTCTGGGTCCCTAGATAAAACCATCCAACTCTGGGATCTTTGGTCTCCTAACTGCCAGGGCCTAATGCATTTCCAAGGAAAATCTGTTTGTTCTTTTGAATTTTTGCTGCTGAGGTCAATTCTGAAATGGTTAAATTTTATGATCTTTGCCCCTTTGATAAGAGGCCATTTGTCACCTTCAAAATGCAATATGATAGGAACTATGAGTAGACAAGCTTGACGTTCAGCAATGATGGCAAACTCAGTCTTATATCTACCAATGGCAGTTTCATCCACCTGACTGATGCATTTAAGGAAGCAGTAATGCATACATTTGGGGGTATAACAATAGCAAAGCTGTCACTTGGGAAGCCTTCTTTACTCCAGATTCTCAATTTATTATGATTGGCTCTGATGATGATAAGATTCATGTCTGGAATGGAAAAAAGGTGCATAAAGGTGGCTGTGTTGGATGGGAAATATACTGATCCCATAACTTGTTCGCAATTCAATCCCAAGTTCATGACCTTTGCCAGTACATGGTCTAACATGGCATTCTGGCTGCCTACCATTGATGACTGATCAACATTGAAAGGCAGCCAATAAGAAGAAGAAAGGGACAGAGTATTGGAATTATGTTGTTCTCCTGACCTGAAGCATCCTTCTACCTAGCCCTTCTCATGAACATCACCATATAGTCTTTGAAAAATACTCCTTTGCTACATTCTTTCAAAAGGATTCTTGTTGCTTCAGACCTGAAGTTGGATCCAGATTTTCTAGTTTTGGCCTGTATCAAGCTCCTCCTGAGGGGTGAGCTGTGTTGGGCTCGAGGGTGTCAGTGCAGATCCTTGGCATAACCTCCTCTTTTGGATGTATAGGGAGCCTATAAAATCTTGACTCCATGTATCTTCTTTCCTGTACCCTATCCCCATAAATGCCTGGAAATCTAGTTCTGGTTTTGAAGTACTAGTGTAGTTTCCCCCTTTCCCTCTGCATGTGCCATGATTGAATTTTCCCAGTGTTGTTGTGGCTTTGCTCCGTAGCCACTATGTTTCTTCAGTGCCAAAAGTTTAAAAATAATCAGTTCAGATGTCCTAAGGACAGAGGGAAGGACAGAGCTATGTAAGGTCTTGGTTTGCAAGGAACTCAAATAACTCTACAGAATGTTAGGGTGATGGGGCCAAGTACGGACTTAGTTATGTGGCTAACTCAAACCTGGTTCAGTCTGTTTCTCACTGGCATGGGGAGTGTAGACAGGCCAGGGATATGTGAAGAGGTAACAAATAAAATGCCTCCAATAGTCAAGGAAACTTACCTCCTTAGCAGACAGAGGGCCAACTCTGTTTAAGAAAACGGCAGCTAAGCTGGGATACAGCCAGGTTGTCTTTGTCCATTGATCTTTTGTGTGTACATATATATGAGGGACTGGGGGTGGGGAACCTATTTTTTAACTTTTTGAAACCAGTAACTATTTCATGTAGGCCAGTATTGTGGAATGAGTCCAAATGGTTTACACTGATGCTTTCTTTCCTCTACCCTTCTTCGCCCCCCACAAAAAAAAAATCCTGTAAATAACTTACAGATAGTCCTACCCTTTTCCCCAGCCACCCAAACCCACAAAACTGATTCTGGGCTTGTAGTTTTGTTAGTGTCTAGCTTTTTTTCTTGTTTTACATTTCAGCTCTGCGTGTACATCTTTGTTTTAAAACAAAAGCCTACACATCGTAACTTCAGGCTTTAGTACAATAGTCTTATAACACCTTGTTCTCACCTGATTCTTGGTGTCGTCAGTTCTTTAGCTGGGCCACAGGAGAAATGCTCTCACTTCTGAGACGGGGGACAGCCTGCTTTTCTGCCTGAGAGTGCTACCACAAGTGTTAGAAAGTTTTCCCTCTTTTCCTTTTTCCATTTCTTGAATAACAAGCGTGGTTACTGCCTAGCCTGGAGACTACTGATTTGACTCCCTCAGGTGATCACTAGCAAGCTCATAAGAGCACCTGCTCGGTATTTTCCAAGCCTTCATAGTAGATAACTCTCCAGTATTAGTCCCTGTTGTACTCTAGCCCAGTTTGCCTTGGGCAAAGGTCACTCTGCATGATAATGTCTCAGAAATTGTGATTCCCAAACCAGTGGTTTCAGTTTGTAAATAGTCTCTGTGCTAGTTATATTGTGCACACTTTAAAAAAACAAACAAACAGCTATCTGTTCCTCATTCCACTAAGGCTACAAATGTAGAAGTAAAGATGAATTTTGTCTATAGAAAGGAGAAAGGGAATGTTATCTGAAAATTATTTTTTAAAAAACTGGTTATGATTATTCAGAAAAAAAGAAAATATTATAAAACATTTTTATTCACAAATGACATCATGATGTTTATTATCCATTAATTGAGCCAACAAATTTCTGTTTTGTTTTCTCCCCCAGGACATCTACATTCAGGAAAATCTCTGGGTCCCTTTCTCATAACCAGTGAAAATGGCATATAAAGGAAAATATGTGAAGAATACCTAGAACCTCTTTTATGGCTCTGATGTGTTGAAGTCTGAATGATCAGCTAGAGGAGAGAACTTCCATATTTCCTATAGTAGATCCTAGGACAAGGAGGATTAAAAAAATGAATTTCACAAACTGTACAACAGAAGCCAGTGTGGCCATTAAATCCAAATCAGTAACAGAGAAGATGCTTGTTTCTATGACTTTGGTGGTAATCACTACCATGACCACACTACTGAACTCAGCAGTAATTATTGCGATCTGTACCACCAAGAAGCTCCATCAGCCTGCAAACTATTTAATCTGTTCTCTGGCTGTGACGGACCTCCTGGTTGCCATTCTCGTCATGCCCTTGAGCATCACATACATCGTCATGGACAGCTGGACCTTGGGTTACTTTATCTGTGAGGTTTGGCTGAGTGTAGACATGACCTGCTGCACCTGTTCAATCCTCCATCTCTGTGTGATTGCCTTGGATAGGTACTGGGCTATCACCAATGCTATTGAATACGCCAGGAAAAGAACTGCAAAGAGGGCTGGAATGATGATACTCACAGTGTGGACCATCTCAGTTTTCATTTCTATGCCTCCTCTGTTCTGGAGAAGCCACCGTCTTCTCAGTCCTCCACCTAGCCAATGCACCATCCAGCATGACCACGTGATCTACACCATTTACTCCACACTCGGGGCATTTTACATCCCCTTGACTTTGATCCTGATTCTCTATTATAGGATCTACCATGCCGCCAAAAGTCTTTACCAGAAGCGTGGCTCCAGCCGCCACCTAAGCAACAGAAGCACAGACAGCCAGAACTCTTTTGCAAGCTGCAAGCTGACCCAGACCTTCTGTGTGTCTGACTTCTCCACTTCTGACCCAACCACAGAATTTGATAAAATCAACACCTCAGTCAGGATACCTCCCTTTGACAATGACCTGGATCAGACTGGAGACCGCCAACAGATCTCCAGCACCAGGGAACGAAAGGCTGCTCGCATTCTGGGACTGATACTGGGGGCATTCATTTTGTCCTGGCTGCCATTTTTCATCAAGGAGCTCATTGTAGGCCTGAGTATTTATACTGTGTCATCTGAAGTGGCTGACTTTTTGACGTGGCTTGGTTATGTGAACTCTCTTATCAACCCTCTACTTTACACAAGTTTTAATGAGGATTTTAAGCTGGCCTTTAAAAGGCTTGTCAGGTGCCGGGAACATTCCTAAAGGTGTAGAAAGCCAAATGTCTTTGGTTGGCCTTGTGAAATGCACAAAGGGCGTTATATTGGTGAAGTCTTAAAGATGGCTGATTCAAGGCAGTTTGTAGGTTGTGGGAGTGGGGGAAAAGGATGCAGCAGGGTGTTGTATGTGGTCCTTTGCTCTTCTTTTTGGGGGTCCTAACATTCAGTAAGCTGTTTTCTATCTCCAGTGTTATGTAAGGTATGTAATATCACTTCAACTTTATGACACCAAAATGAAAACCTTCATAGAAGTAACCAAAAGGAAAATAATGTATTATTTATTTTAACAGTCCCAATTATTCCTGTAATCAGTAAATGAGAAAAGAAAATTCCTCTTGTTCATAGGAAATTTTTTTTGGTGGATTCTTTTGTCTGTATATGGCCAAACCAACATGTGACTATTTGCCCTCGAGTGGTATAAAACCTGACCTTGTGTGTCTGTGTGTATACAGATTCAAGCAGAAACTATATGGTTGTACATAAAAAATAGAGAGCGATCACTGTCCTGTTAACCCCTGCTTGCATCCCCACGCTGAAAGCATCTACCATGGCACAACGACATAGCATATCTACTGCAGAAGCAAGAACCTTTATTTCCCATGGTCCACAATAAAATAAACCAACTCAAGTTTCAAAAAGAACCCAGAATTCTCTGGGGATTTTGTGTAAATTGTTTATTGTGAGTATAATATATAAACAAATGAGAAACAAGAGAAAAACATCTTCTATTTGGTACATTTGCTTCTGGGGATGTTTCTGCTTCTGGGACTTAAGGGTGAGAGGCAAGGATTGAGGATTTTATAGCTGAAAGGGACAGATCTTAGAGATCCAATCCTACTCCCTCAATTTGTGAAGGAGGAAACAGGTTCAGAGAAGTTAAGTGATTTTCTAAAGGTCACAGAGCTAGTGTCTGTTGGGGATCTATTGGTGCAATTAGGAGGCTTCACAGAAGAAATAGATAAGTCAGTTGATACTGAATGCTTTTTGAGGCGCTTTTATTTGGCACATTTAAGAAACTGCTTAACTGGAGATACCCAAAGGAGTATGGAGGGGGAGGAAGGGGTAGCAAGACAAGGATACTAAGTCATTATTTATCCCCAAAATTGGGGCAGCAGCCAGTACCTCCAAAGCTAAAGCTGAACCTACCCCTAAACCATGGCAATAGCTAAAACATGTAAAATGGGATAGAGAAGTGCAGGACAGGTATATAACCAAAGAAGTCCCCAGGCCAGGGCAAGAGGAGGGAGTTTCTAAGGCTTTTGTGAACAGTTCACAATGTTACACTTAGTTCTCACTTGTTTGGTGAGTGGGACTCCTGGGTCCATCCTCACTGCATGCATCAGGGTAGCTCCAAGAAGCTGATTGAGGTCAGGTGTTTTACAGGGAGAGACAGGGTTCTGCTTATGGCTGTCTGATTGGTTTTCTACCTTTGATGTGACCCGCAGGGTGGCACCAATTAGTTGCAAGTTTCTAATTGGGAAGTATATAGGTATAGATGGTTTAACATTTGAGGATGGCCTTTCAGAAATGGTCAGGTCAGAAAAGAAGGGATACTAGACAGAAGGAGAATGTTTAGCTATGGCAGAAGACACACACTGAATAAACACTAGGCCCCCAAAACTTTCTGGAGTACAGCAGCTATGAATAGCCTGAGAGATACAGTATCAAGTGTGCCCATGACTAGATGACATCCCAGGCACACTAAAATTAAAATTTCTTATTGAATTGAAAGGTGAGTGTTATAATTCTCCTGCATATAGGAAATCCTAAAAATACATACATGCACAGAGAGAGGGAGAGAGAGAGAAAGAGAGAGAGAAATACAATGTCATATGTTCATCTAGGGGAAAATCATCATCTAAAGACTTTTGTGGTGAAACATTACCTGCAGAATTTACTAGTGGATTGACTTAGCAGAGAGAAATTATAAAAACAGGAAAAGTCTGAGCTCCTGCTTAGGACCATGAATCAAGAAGGGGATTGGACAAGATGATCTCCCAAATCCTTTCCTACACTAGAATCCTGCAGTTGTAAGAAAATTAAATGTGGGAAAGGTTGTTTCCGGAATTCTTTTTGCATCAGTAGAGAGAATTGACTTGAGCTGCATTATGGAGCAGGCCTGAACTCCAAACCCAAAGGAAAGATTATTAGCACTCTGCCATCTGACACTACCTACTGTTTAGCCAGAAGGAGTTCCCTCAAAGGTTTGCAAGCGGGTCCCACTGCTTAGAATACAGAGCAAAGTAGATAACAATATGGAGGATTTAGCATTTGCGCAACTCTCCACACCTACTAATTACCTCTTGTTTCCCAGTGAAAGGGTACCAAGTTGTGGTAGCAAGATCCATTCCCTAGATATATTCATTATAGGTCTTGGGATGGTTGCTGAATGATTAAAGAACCTGAATGTGTTGTTGACAAAACTGAGTGGAGTTTGAGTGTTTAGCTAATGTCATTGTCTATAAAGAGACTGTTTATTGCAAACATGTGAGGAAGAGTGACTACATACGAGGCATACGTGGCTAGAATGGAACCCTGGAGCTTGGGAGGCCCTAGAGGTGGAAGCTGATTCCTAGGTGGTGGGAGTGCAGAAAAAACAGGCTGGTGAAGACTGGCTTGCTCCATTGGTGTTTCGAGCTCTGGGGTGGTCTGCAACTTTAGATTCTGATGCCCACACTGTCAGCATTTGGAGAGCAGTAGCTGGCACAGTAGTGAGCCCCTCGGAATCTTAATGTGTAAGAGAAGTCAATGAATCCATAATCTAAGGGTGAGACCACATATGTAAGTCTACATCCCCTGACCCTGCTTGCAGCAGGTACAGAAATTCTAGGATAATATCACAACTCCACATTAAATATTTTAGAGAAATGACTGAAACTAAGGTCATGTCCTCATGTATATTTTTCATATCTGTACTAAGGGCTTTGCTAGGTTGATGCTTATTTAGACCAATGGTGCTGCTAACCATTATCAACATTGTGCATGTCTAAGAGCTGCTCTATTGAACTATCAATCCTTTCCCTACCCAAGAATTTTTATCTCATGAAAAAATAAAGGAATAAGCATTACCTACTGCTTTTGAGATTTGTCATTGCCAATGGTGATTACCCACCTTTGTGGTGTCCTGGTGGTCATGCCTCAAGAAAAAATAGATCTGCTAAATACATGATAGATAGGAACATTATCTAAAAGGTCAGGATTTTCTCTCTAGATAAAGAGTAGAAATCTGTTATAATGTGATTTATTGCACAACCTGTCCTCCATCCTCCTGCCTAAAACAGAACTATATCCAGCAAAACCAAATATGCCACAGCCGGCCCCTAAAGATGTTTAATCCTTGTACTCCACCAAGCAGTAGTATTATAAAATGATGTCACTGTAGAGGACTCAATAGATCAGATCATAGCTTAGAGATGAAAGGCACCTCCAAGACCTTTTATATATGAGGAAACTGAGACCCAGAAAAGTAAAATGACTTGCCCAAAGTCATGCAGGTAGTGAGCATCAGTGGACGGACTTTAACCTAAGCTCATCTGATTCCAAAGTCAGTAATTTTCCACTGCACCATGTTGCTTTCCCTAGTTCAGGTGCAGCAATTTATTTTGTGTATTCTTTGTGCAGAACTCTGTGCTAGGCAAGAAGAATGACCTTGAGTAAGTTAATTAACCTCTCTGGCTTCGATGTTCACATATGTAAAATAAAGCAATTGAACTAGATAACCTCTAAGACCATTTCTAACTCCAAATCCAGGACCCTATTCTGAAAAAAAAAATGGCATTTATTATCTTCAAGGTGCTTAGAGCCTAAACTGGATAGGGTAGATGAGACATATAGGCAAATAATTGGTACAGAGCAAAATGTGGTAAGACCAATAGGTGGCACAGTGGATAGAGTGTCAGGCCTGGAGTCAGGAAGACTCATCTTCATGAGTTCAAATCTGACTTCAGACGCTTACTGAACAAGTCACTTAACCTTGTTTGCCTCAGTTGCTCATCTGTAAAATGAGCTGGAAAAAGAAATGGCAAACCACTCCAGTATCTTTGCCAAGAAAATTTCAAACCAGGGTCACGGAGAACTGAATATAACTGAAGTGACTAAACAATAAAAAAGCAGGGACTAGTGTAGGAGGATTTGTAAGCTAAAACAATTACTAGAAAGTTTATAGAGATGACACAAGCCCTGGCTTAGGCTGGCACTTTCCATGTTGACATCTCTGCAGAGCTGGGTCATTTTCAGAAGTACCAGTAGACAATAGGAGTAATCACATCTCAGAGTAGAGGATTTCAGCAATCTTTCTAGGACTTCAGAAGATTCAGAAAAACTCATATTTAATTATAAGAAAAAGAAGAATTAGCTTAAAATATTCAAAGATTTTCTTCACAACATCCTCTTTTTTTGACATCATGGTATGAAGACAGTATTTAGTTCTTGAAGGTTCTGTTAATGGAGTACAAATTCTGGTAGATTCAACCAGGATGGAAAGACCTTGAGTACAGCCCTGAGTACTCAAGCACCTGCATACTTAAAGCACCAGACTACTAAAGGAGAAGCTCATTATTGATAGTATTTGGCTACTGTAACCTCTGACAAAATTTAAAAGGCCCTCAGTTCTTCAAAGCCTTTCAGCTTACAGTAATGGTGGCAGAGTGATGGGAAAGGAGACATGGGGTACTAAAAATCAGTTGCTTTATTTCTATTTATAAATATAACAAAAGATTGGTCAATGATAGTACATGGGATGTTTGGTAAATCCTAGGAGCTCATGGATGTTTGATAAACCAGCTTCCAAAAATGAGTAATAAAGGGTCCTATTCTCTACTTGGTGATTCTAATTTTGAAGTGTACCCAAAGGAGAAAGCCGACTCAGAAGCAGGCTCACTAACCATCCATATATTTCCAGGGCTGGGCCCTTATTCTTAGTGCCCTATAACAAAGACCTTAATTTAGCTGTGAGTACTTTAAATGTGGGGGGCAGTTAGGTGGCAC